CCCCTAAGAGGGCCTTGAGAGGTAGAAATGATTGATTGTCCTCAGGTGCTTGGAGGAGTGTAGCGTCCTCACCTTTTTCAGCTCCCAACGCTCCAAGATGGGCCAAAAAGATCCGAATAGCGGCTCTGGACTGCCCAGGAGGCCCCTACGAAGGTCCCACGATGCTAAGATGCCCCAAGAGGGCCCAACGACGGGAAACCAGATCTGGCATTTCGAGCCTGCCGCCTCAAGAGACCACCAGAGACTCCAGAGGGCCCCCCAAGAGGCTCCCAAAAGGTCCCCAAGACGCCCCAAGAGGCCCCCCCGGAAGCCCCGAAGAGCACTCCAAGAGCCCCCCGAGACATATTTCAAGAGACCATCGGATGCATCCACGAGGCCTCTGAACCACAGCCTAGGCACGGTGGTGGGATGGACTGAAGACAGTGAGAATACATTAATATGTATATACACAAACACATAAACATCACCTACCAATGGAACGCGGACCTCTTAACGAAAGACATAAGAACTCTTATCAAGGACATGCTTTCGACGCACACTCCTCTCGCCACCGGCACCGTGGCTGCTGAGCGCAGCCACCCCACACGGAAACGCCCAGCAAGCCCCGCGCGAGGGAACCGCCACCGAAAAGCCTCCCACCCACAGATTCTTCTGGCGCTCCAGATATCTGGAGGGGCCCCAGGACACACAAATGAATACACACAAGTAAAACATATTCCCAACATGTTCCCATACTTTCGAGATGTTGTCTGCCCCCCCCCACTCCCCATATGTTCCCATATTTTCTTGGGGATCGACGATGAATTGTGTCTGTGTGTTTTTTCCCCTCCTGAATATCGTGCCGCGTAAGATCTCGTGCGCGATCGCTTCGCATCGGGCCGCGTTGGCCCGACGGCGGCGACCGTCCTCCTGTGAGCCCCGACGGCGCCCGACCCCTCGCCCGCCGCAGACCTCTGACGCCATACCTCTTCTGCGGCATGCGGGGTCCCCAGAGGCCCCGCCCCCCCCCCGGGGACAGGGTCGTCATCCCGGGATGCCTGGAGGCCTCCCAGATGGGGTTCGAGTAGCTGGGGTCCAGGGGTCGCGCCGCGTCGCCGATGCGTCGCCGATGCATCGGCGATGCGTCGGCCATGCACCGGCGCCGTCGGCGTGGAGAACCTCGGGCTCCGCATCGCCGATGCGTCGGCCATGCGGCGCGATCCTCCGACCCCACCCGCTCGGACCCCACCCGCTGGGCCCAGAGCAACTCGGTCGACCGACGAGGGGCCTCTGGACGCCGACCCTTGCCATCGAGCTGCTGCCGTGGCTTCGGTCCGGCCCTCCGGCGCTGGGTCCCCGCCCTCGGTGGCGCAGCGGTCGCTCACCCTCTCTGGCCCCCCCTGGGGGCCCTCGCGTCTCTGGCAAAACAGGGCTAGGATCGGCATCAATCGCTCCAGAGCGTTCTGGAGCGCTCTCAGAGCGTTCCGGAACGCTCTCAGAGCGGCCGCGGCGCCCAATGCATCCTCCAAACCCACCGATTCTCAGAGATTTCGACTTATCCCGATCCGATGTTGTCCCGATCTTCGCGCCGTTTTATCTGGGCCCTCCCACCCCCCGGGGCGCCGCCAGGCGCGCAGCTGCGGTCCACTCCGCTGCGCCCCTGGGGGGCCCGGCGGGGTGGTGTCCCGTGCGGGGCCGAGGGCCGCGCAGAACCTGC